TGAGCTAATAGGCCAACCAGTTTATAATTAATGTAGGCCTCTGTGTGTTTCTTTGGGACTGAATGGCTGCAGACTGGGTGGGACAGAAACCTCTGTCAACACACCTAGTTAGAGGGACGCTCAACTGAAGAACTGTCTGTCTCCTGACCTCGGGCATGTCTGTGGGGTTCGGTCTTTATTGATGATTGATGTGAGTGGACTCAGCCCACTCTGGGCCGTGCCACCCTGGGGAGGTGGTCCTGGGCTCTGTGAGACAGCAAGTTGAGCATGCGTACTGGAAACAATCCAGTGAGCAGCATCCTCCAGAGCCTCTGCTTTAGTTTTTGCCTCTAGATTCCTGCTTTGAGTTGCTGCTCTGATTTCCCTTCGTGACTGTAATCTGTGAGCTGAACAAACCCGTTTCTCCCCATGTTGCTCTTGGGTCAGGGTGTTTATCACAGCAACATGGGGAAAACTAGGACAATGGGGTTTTAGACAATTAACAGATGAAGGGGGCAGAATGGGAGAGAGATTGCTGCTAGAGGCAGGCAGGGCTGTCGTAAAATGTGCTAGGAGAAGCACACTGAAGAATAATGTGGGACACGAACTGAAAGCGTCCGTGAACTCAAGGACGCATTGTGGGCTGAGACGGACAGCATGGTAATCAGTCTTAGCCAGGCCCCTGGCTTTGGAGGGAGCTAGTGCATTCCAGTTCAGCATAAAGTCACTCACTCCTTCCTTCAAAGGATAGTACGTGAAAAACAAGTGCCAACAACAGGGAAAAGATACATTGTTGGATGAGCTCCAAGGCCTTCTAGATCTGTAGTTCTCCAAGTACTTAGTTCTCCAAGTGCATGGAAAGGTCACGATTATGGTTCTAGTGTATTCCCTGAAATGCTCAGGCTGAGACTTGACTCCCATTGAGGTTCTATGAGGAGAAGGCACCTTTAGGAGGTGACTTGCTGATGTGGGAGAATTGTCTGTATTCTGTCAATCATATTTTAATAAAATGCTGATTGACCAGGCAGGCAGTATAGGCAGGAAAGCCAGACAGGAAGTAGAGGTGGAGCAAAGAAATTGGGAGTATTCTGGGAAACAGGAAGCTCCCTCGGCAGTGCTGCCCAGACCACCGGAGAGGAAAGATGTAAGCTGCCCAGATGAGAAAGATACTGAGCCGTGTGGCTAACGTAGATAAGGATAATGGGGTAACATAAGTTATAAGAACTAATAAGTAGCCTGACCTAATGAGCCAATCAGTTTATAATCTTATGGAGTCCTGTGTGTGATTTTCTTTGTTACTTGCCGGCTGTGGGGTACTGGGAGGGACAGATACCCCAAGTAAGCCGGTCCTCATGTTACAACTTGCCCCTGACTAGTACCTCTGAGAAGAGCCTACCTTCTCCACTCCCCCATTAGGACACAGTGTTTGCTCCTCTTCAGCCCTTTCTCTGCCGCCATGTGACGGGACTGCTGTGAGATGCTGACCAAGCAAGCCCCCCGACACACTGAACCTGCTATACTTTACTCTTAAACTTCCCAACCTCCAGATTTGTGGGGAAATAAATCTTCATTTCTTATACAGTATACAGTCTTGAGTATTTTGCTACAGCAGCACAAACATCCTCGGTTTCTGACGATGGATAATCCATGTTTTATGAACTAAAATTTTCAGACATTAACTCACATTTATCTTGCCACGGCGAGATGGTTTCACCTGTCTTAAAAGATGTCCCTCTCCAAGGGAGTGACCAAGCGGGGGTTATGTCTATCTTAGTGCGCATCTTGGCAGAACAATACCTTCCTGGACAGACTGTAAATGAGACATGACCATATACAGCTGTGGAACAGGTTAAAAAGTGAAGGCCAAGAAGTCAGGATGCTCTTCTATGACTGAAACATGGGGTTAGAACTGGACAGTCAGAGCCTGCTGAGGGGACAAGTGGGGACATCCTAGAGTGACAATGGTCTCCAAGTCAAGCCCTTGGCTGCAGTTTTGGTGGAGTTAAGAAACTGGTATCCTGTGAATAGAGAAATACAACTAGGATGCCCACTTTTAATGCCAAAGGGGACACAGCCAGTGTTAATATAGTAACTCTCCTGGTATACCAGTTAGAAGAACTCTGTATTGTCTAATTATTAGCCAGGGAGCCAGCTGCTCTCTGAAGGTGTCTAGACTATTGAATGCTGTTTGGGTTCACAAGAAGAATTCTGCATTGCTCAATCCTCCATAACTGCCAGATTTCTTCCAGAGTTATCAGAACTCTAATTTGGGGACTGAAGATGCAGCTTGGTTGATAGACTGCCTGCCTTGCATGCACAAGGTGCCGACTTTGATTCTTAATCCCAGTGCCCAGGAGGTATTGACAGAGGGTCAAGATCTCAAGGTCACCTGTGGTTATGTAGACAGAGTTTGTGGCCAGTCTGAGCTACAAGAGACCCCATCTAAGAACCAAATGAAATACAAGTAGGGAAAAAAATGAACTCTAATTTGGAAGAGATTATAACGAACTCATTTCATAAAAACGTGAGTGGGGCCTTTGGCATACTTGTAGTGCATCCTCAGGCATGTGTGTGGGTCCAGCTCCACCATGTGCTGCCAGTTAGGAGACCTTCAGCTGACCAATAAGACTTGGTGAATCTCATTAATGCCTTAATCTCTGGGATGGAAAGTTCAAGAACAGTCTTTGAATTTCAAAGGCGAAACCAGAGCTGGTTCTTTACTTACTTGAATTTTATATAAAGCACACCGGCTTACCAGACAGAAACAGAAGTGGACTTTGCTGCCTTTCTCTAAGAGCAAAGAACTTTTGTAGGAGGAAAAGGAAGGATTAGGCTCTAGATCAGAGAGCGTGGGCACTGGATCCAGGTCCCCGCAGGCTTCATACCCATAGATAGACACGTTAACAACTTTTGTTTTAATTTCTCCTCTGGAGAAGAGAGCTAATATTAAGATCTATTTTGTAAAGGTATGGGAAAGACTAAATGAGTTAACACACACAAAAGGCTTTAATACAGTACTTGGTAAAGAGTTCAATGTCAGCTGTCAAATTGTCACTTAGCCCAGGGGACACTGTGCATTATTGCACTCAGGCTTCTAGGGATGGCACTTTCTTTCTGCTTCTTGCTATAAGATCGAAAAGGAAATGAAATTGATTTCTATCTGGGTATCTATTGTCTACAAATTACCATGCAAATGATGGGAAACCAAGAAATTAAGCAGAACCAGCAATCCTGTTAGATACTTGAATCCAAGCTCAAACCTTGACTTGAATTTGGCTGATAACTCTCGTCTTTGATAGAGTTGTTACCGCCTTCAGAGTTTAGCTCTGCTAGCGCATGGTGTGTGCCCACCTGTGGTACTAGCGGGACAGGTTGTGCGGCTCTCACCTGGCCATGGCAGAGAGAAGAGGGTTAAATGGAAAGGAACAGATCAGAGAGAACCATTACTTTTCAGTATTGTTTTTAAAACCTCTCAATCCCAAAGCAGATCCCATGGCCAGGATCTGAGTTAGAGTCCATGTAGACAACTTGTTGAATTTCTCTTTTTTTTCCCTTATGTGGAATTTATTTCAGACATATGGGTTGATGTATTATTGAATATTTTAAAATCAATTTTTACTTTTGTGAATTAATTTGTCTGTGCAAGTCTATATTTAGTTAAGTTCAGCAAATATTTTCTGAATGCTATTGTGTGTTGAACATATTCCTAGAATGCAGAGAGGACCCAGACACGTTCTCCGGTCCTTGAGGTCTCATAGTGTGTTTCAGGATATTGACACACAGGGTTAAGATATGAACCCAGAGGAGGGACACAGAGCCAGCCAAGAGAGTTGAGGGTACTCCCAGGCTTCGGCCCCTTCACTTTCCTTTTTCTCAACTGTGTTCCTTTATTTTTTTAAGCAAAAGGTTACATCCTTGCTCTTCCCCCTATAGTTCTCTCCACACTTGAGCACGCCTCAAAGGCCTTGGCCCTTCTTCTCTTCTGTTAACACTGAATGCCAAGTCTCCATCCTTCTAGGCCTGCCAGTTCCAGTCCTCACTGATTTGAGCCCTCAGAATCCGTGAGGTCAATCACTCCTTCTCCTAGCTCTGAGTTAGTCAACTTCCATCACTCCAGTGACATCCCTGAGGTGGCTACCTTTATGAAGAAAATGGTTTCTCAAACTCACAACTTTGGAGGCCACAGAACCTGCACTGGCTCAACTCTAAGGTGGGCCCTGCTGGCTTGCCTGTCATGTCATGGCAGAAGCAGGGGTGGGAGCCTACCAAAGAGGGACCGAGCATGTCTTTAGAAAGAAAGGAGAGCTGAGGAGGCTACACTCTGGCTTTGATGACTACCTTCTCGAGAAGTATCAAAGAGTAACAGCAGAGGCCCCTGAACCCTTTCTGAAAGCAGAGCCTCATAAGTGGGCATGTGGGGGAGGCAGGTATGGTAATGAAAGACCTCCGGATTGTGGAGACTCTCACTCAAGTCTCGGGATAATACGACCCCCCCAGGAACTCACAAGAGACCATCCTTACTGCAATCACACGAGGTTTATTGACAGGTACCAGCACTAGGCCGAGACTCATATCCCATGCAGGGGAGGAGTTCGACCCCGAGTAACTGGGAGAAGGTGTATTTAAGGGAAGAAACCACAACCCAGTAATCCAAAGGGGGTAGGGAGGGTATCATTGGAAAATTCCAAAACTACCAGTGATAATCGCAAGGGGGTGACTCCCTGTTTCTCAAGATTATAATCTAACTTTATCTTCAGCTAGTTCCTGAAACAGAGTCACTGAACCGGTTAATCTAGATTTCTGATTCTTCTCTCCCTGCTTAGATTTTTGGCTCTATTTTTCTGCTAGAGGGGGTCTGGATTTATCCAGGTCTTTCAGTAGAGCCACAGTGTTAGGGTGTTGCGTGTAGAGGGGTCTATGCGCTCCATTCTTGTGTCTCTGCTTCCGGCTCCACAGAGGAGCACCGGCATAAACTTGGTCAGCCCTCAGGGCAGGGGGGAGGTAAAGATGATGAGGCATACCTGGTACGTCCAGGCTTTGTTCCACTCTGGTTCCAGTGTGCCATCTGAATGGGAATTCCATGGGCTCTGGAACCCAGCAGCACACTCCGGAGGCTGCCTTCTCCTCTGCACTGCGTATCTTCACGGAGGAAGAAGGTGAATCTCAGCAAGCGGTCTCAGGTTGTTTCACAGCATCCCGCCCCTACCTTCACTCCTGGCCTCACCTGTTTTCTCCACGTACAGTGTGATTCTGATAATTTTTTCTCCACTCTTCGTTTTGTCTAGAGGCTACCAGGGTTGATTAGATTAAAAAATCTATACTACTCATACCTCGGAGGTATGTGCCCTATAAGTACAATGTAATAATAATAATGCTAGAGTAATTACCTTGGTTAATTTATGCATAAGATAGAAAAAAGGATTCTTAATTAAGAAGCAATTCAGCATCATCAACACAGGCCCCATGCATTGGAAAGTAAGAATTCCAACTTGGGGTCAGATCAATAGGAAAATGAATTGGTTATCTTTGCTTCCAGGTGACTTATGTTATACACTCGCTTAAAAATACCCATTCCCCAGTTTCCTATCTTCTGTCCTATCTCCCAACAGAAGGTTGGTCAATGGCTGTCACCAGATCCTTAAAGGAGTTGTAAACTCAAAAGTAAGATCTATAGAGTAGAGGCTTCAAGGGCTCCTGGCTCCAGCTCTCCACAGGCGATATGAATGCCTAAGAGAATTCAGCTGCCTCTGGACTCAGGAGACAGCAGGTTTGCCATCACCAGCTTGTAGTTTGGACGCCAGTTTCAGAGAGTAGTCTGAGCCTGGCCCACGACATGCAGAGCGCGTCAGCCCAGAAGGAAGTTGTGATCCACAGAGCACTTCCTGTGCTGAGCCGCGAGCCCGGGGTCCCCTACTGCTGCTCTCACTTTCCCCTCTGCACTCATCTGCTGAACTGGTCCAGCCTTTCGGCCGTCAGTCTCCTCGTCATGAAGCATTTCTTACCTGCCAGCCAGTCTGCTTTCTCCTCTGCAACTCAGACCTCTGCGGGGTGTGCCCATGCTCCTGGCTGTATGCTAACCCCGCGATGCCACATGGTCCTTGCTGGAACTGACATCACTTATGATCAGAGCCTGGGTCATCTCTTCTGCTTCTCAGATGCCTCCAGACCCCGAGTAACAGCACGGCAGTTGTCCAGAACTCCCCCTCACAGGAATGCTGGTGCCAGGCCAGCCCTGGGAATGCTTTGAGTGAAGAATACAAGTTACTTACGGATTCCCCTAAGGATGTGTTAAGATAGCCTACCACTGTCTATATTCCAGTGACTCTGCTGTCACTCCAGACTAGCTTGTTCCTTCCCTAGATGTTGCCTGTGGTCTCTCTTATGCTTCTTCCTTCCTCTAGTGAACTTTGTGTATTCCCAAGTCCCTGTTAGGTGACAACTTCATTGGCGCTAGCTGAACCAACTGTTAATGGTTAACAACGATCTCTCTCCTGAATACTATTACACACTTCAGTGTTCTTATCCAGAGGAATAACTGCCATTGCTTAAGACACAGGCTGGTGGGGAGAAAACTTTTAGACCATGTAGTTCACGGTGACCCTCAAATCACACTTCCTTCAGAATTCTAGGGTATTCTACAGACGGTCTTGGAGAGGCCGGAGAGTTTCCACCAGCAGAACCCTCAGGCTCGGGGTTTTATTCTCAGGTTTTCTAAGTCACGTGTGTGAACAGGTGTGCACTCATGCTAGAGCTGAACCCCACCATGCGCTGCCTTTCTTCTTAGCTTCCTCTCACATGTTTATAATGGAATATAACCAAAGCCCATAGTCCAAGGAGCCCCTAAACCACCCGTCTCAGGTGCAGCCCTTGGTCTACTAAGCTGTGGTCACCACCTCTGTGTTTAAAGAGGGACAGATGACGCTCAGGGGGCCTGCAGTGTCACCCAGAACTCACCCAGCTCCTAGTAGAGGCAAAAGAAGGAGCCCAGGCCTGTGCCTTTGGCCACAGGAACCATCTGAGAGACAGCCATCTTTCTTTCTTTTGTGCAACTTTGCCTTTGTCGGGACCACGGGTTTCCTGGCCAGCACCAAAGCTATTCCTGGGCAAGCACATCCCGTGTGGTTTGTTTTATGCAGTGGGGGGTTTCAGGAGGTTGCATGCATTTCTTCTTTAAAGATTGTGTTTTGTTCACACAATGAGAAAGGAGTTCTGGAAGGCTTCTCTGAGCATCCCAGTATTCTCGTGTGCGTACAAGAAGCCCACTTTATCAGCGTGGTTACACATGTGCTTTATATTCATACAGCAAGCATGGCAGAATGTGAAGTGACATGTGGACACACGGGAATGCTTCCTGGAGGAGGCATCCCTGGCAGAGGGAGTATGGGGGCCTTAGAACCAGCTCTCCTGTTCTCACCCCACTCTGACTCTGGCCTGAGGACCATCGCTCCCTCTCTGAGCCTAGTTTCATTACCTGCAGAGTTAAAGGACCGTGTTTGTTGCTTTCTATGCCTTGGTTCCCATTTGGACACCACAGCACTCCTTTGAATATTCATGTACACAAAATGGCCTCAGCCACAGGGAAGTAGGACTCTGCCTGGGGAAATTTGCATGGAACAGAAATCAAAGCCTTCAGCCACACAGAAGAATTCAGGGGTGGAAACTCCAAGGTATCATTATGAAAAAGAGGGGAATAGTGTTGGGAGCTAAGAGATATGCCAAGTGCTCTCGGGTTGAAGCACCCTGCATGGGATCTGTCGAGGCTGGCTTTCCTGAGTTGTGCTTGCAGAAAGTTGTGCACGTGGGTGTCTGTGCATGTGGGAATTGGTTGTGCACGTGGGTGTCTGTGCACGTGCACAGCGGGCACCCAGTACCCACCACAGATTCCAGGTATAAGCTTATGGGGTCTGTGGGCTCACTTGTGGCTGGCTATTTAGTTTTAATGCCCAAAACCAATTTTAAATAAAATGAAGAAGTCCCCCTAAATATTCTATATGGGGTTTTCTGTTTTTTAGAGGGGCATTTCAAGACTAGTTTCACACAGGTTTAGCCGAAAGGGAAATTAAACTCTACATTTAAATGGAGATTACGCACAAAGGAATCCATTAGTTTCAATATTTCTCAGCAGGAGGGCTCAGAGTTATTTAAATAAGTTTAGATATTAAACCTAAAGTAGCCATTAAAGCAACGTGTATTTGTTTGCCTATTTTTTCCCCAGAAATCTTTTCTTTCCAGCTGACTGAAAAAATCTATTGCTTAACTGATGGAGGGTATTTTAATGTATATATAAAAAAGCTAGGGAGTTTTTAATGTAGTACTTCCTTTGAATTTTTAAGTACCATATCACGGTGTAGTTATTATAGCCTGTGTCACTTTTTGGACAGATTAAACTGCAGGGTTTTCCCTTCCCCACCCCCACACTCTACAGACCAAGGCTAATATAAACACCGACATTAAACCATATTGGCTATGGAAGAGTCTTTGATTGTCATTGAGATTATTTTAAAAGTTATTTAGGTCCCCCTGTTACATCTCTGCAAACCACTGAGAAAATGTTGTGCTAGGGTTTCTCTTTGCAACATTTCTTTGGGGATTCATAAATATTGATTGTACCGTAAAAAATTGATGGAATCTTGAAACAGACTGCAGTTGAGGCAGCTGGGGAATTTACTCAATTTTTCTCAATCGCTGCAGTCTATAAAAAGAGGAGATTTTGCAAATTGTTTCTCACCTTGTCTTTTTAGTATTTAATAGCTCTCAATTCTATAGCCTTCTGAACCATGCGATGGGCATGTTTTCTATCAAGACGGGAATCAGGTCTCTTCAATGGGAATTAAAAGGTGAGAGCAGGCTGTGAAGGGGTTAAATGCCATCCTCTTCTATGCCCTTTCTTCCAGCTCTCTCCCACTTCCTCTCTGTTGTCAACATCCTGCTGTTTGAAATGATTGATCTGCTACACCAACCTCCCAGATGCCCATATGATGCCCAGGAGCACATCTCCTCCCAGGGTTTCAAAGGAGAGAAGGTCAAAGAACTAAGTGAGACCATTTAGGGACCTACTGAGTCACATTACATCGAGTCGTACCCAGATTTCTTTTGTCTGTACAGTGCTATCCTTATCCTTCCTCAGGTAGGCATCCAGAGCCCTTTGCCCACTGGACTCTAAACTCTGTCATTGGCTGTATCCTCACAATTCTTTCTAGAATGCTGGTTTCTTTGTGCACAAGTCCACACTCTGTCCCCCACACTCTCGGCATGCATTGCTGGTGTGAGCAGGACTTGGGTTTGAAGGATGAAGCCATGAGCCAAAAAAGCAGATGACCTTTAGAAGGTGGAAAGAAAGGAAAGAGGAAGTAAGTAAGTAAGTAAGTAAGTAAAGAAGGAAGGAAGGAAGGAAGGAAGGAAGGAAGGAAGGAAGGAAGGAAGGAAAAAGAAAGAAAAAGAAGCAGATTCTTTGGCACGTCCTCTCCCAGAGGAGGCTCAGGTCCTGTGTACCTTGTTCAGTGAGGTCCTGCAGAACATCTAATGTAGAGAACTTTAAGGGCTTGTACTTGTGTTTGTATGACAATAACTAAGTTTGTGGGAGTCATATTTAACCATCCTTAAATAATCATACTTGCAAAGTCCGTTTTACCATATTCCATCCCATTCACAGATCACAGGGATTAGGGTCTATGTCTTTGGACACATAGAAGTGGGTCCAGTGATTTGCCCAGGAGGGTTAAGGCTGAGCATTTTGTCACAAGTGGCACCTAAGTGTGCCAGGATCAATTCCATCTCTGATAAAATCTGATCTCGACGACAGTCCCCACCCCGTCCACTGGACACAGTGTTAGGAGTCATTGCCTGAGTTAGGCGGGCGAGAATGCTCCATGAGCCTTCAAAATTTGTTTGCAATGTGGTTTGTTGTTTGCTTTGCTTATTTTGTCGAATGAAGCTGTGATTCATTCTTATTTTAAGAAAGATAGTTAAGGTTTTTAAAGGAATCCACATTACAAAGTTAAGGCTGGGTCCTCTCTTCAGCTGATATTAAAATATAGGGGCCGGTGGGGAGTAGGAGAACTCTGACCAATCTATTAAAAAAAAAGCCTGGAAAAAATTGCTTTATTTTTCTTTAAAAATGTTTTATTTGTATTATTTTATGTATGAGCACTCTGTCTACATGCCAGAAGAGGGCATCAGATCTCATTATAGATGACTGTGAGTTACCATGTGGTTGTTGGGAATTGAACTCAGGGACCTCTAGAAAAGCAACCAGTATTCTTAACAGCTGGGCCATCTCTCTAGCCCCATATTGCTTCATTTTTTAATTCTGCTTTTACTTTCAGTGAGCTCGACTCTGGGGATCGAGAAGGCTGGACGTTCGAAAACGAGAGGTTTTGCCTTCAAAAATCGAGACCTTTGTCCTGCTCTGCCCTTGAGTGTGTAGGTTCTTTTCTTCACATGGCTGACGTTACTGTCTATCTTTGCATTCAAAGACCTATTGGCTCCTATTGGCTGCCTGTTGGAGGCTGGCCTCTGCCCTTAAGTTGTTGGGAGCTACCCATGTCAGGGGTGATTGCCAACCCGGCAAAGGAGCCTGTGACCAGGACTAAGTATTCTGTGGTGGGCTCTGTGTTGGTGGCTCCTGATGGTGGTCAAGTCTGCAAGAGAAATACTGACCAATGGGCAGAGGCAAAATAGGTTTGGAAGGATCCAGCAGGCAGGAAGAAGGGATGGAAAGCAAGAAACAAGAAACACACACAGGAGGCTGCTCTGTGTGTGGTGGTGGTGGGGGTGGGGGGTAACAAGGCAGGCCCTCAGGTTCCTAGAGTTTTCTAACTAGTGGCTTCTGGGTGTGGCCCATCTCTGCATTTACCCCTCTCCTTTGTCCCAGCCTGATTCTGACCTCCATTAAACCTGTGTCATTTTGAAGGGATTCCAGAACTAACGTCCTCTGAGCTCCAGGAAAAGGTGGCCAGAACTGAAGACAGCATGCAGCCCTGTGGTACTTTCTGGACTGGAACACTCACTGGGGAGCTGAAGGATACCATCCTCACATCCCAAGGACCAGGAAGTCGAGGCTTTATGTCCCCCACATGTTATGCAGAAACATCAGCACAGGTTGTCCTAGGTATAAGGTTTACCCCAGAGAAAAGACCACAAAGCTAGCAGCCCCCACATCACCTTGCCACTTTCTGCAGTTTCCAGAAGAGCCACTGGTACATCCCCTTCCCCATGGGACTGGCTGCAGACTTCAGCTGGCCTCTCGGGATTTCCTTCAGTTCTTTCTGCAGCAGACCTTCTGCCTCTGAAGGAAGGCATTTCTCCATTAACCCTTCAAGCTCTTGGCAGGAGAGCTGGTTCGCACCCTGCTGCTGTGACATCCCAGCCAGGAGCAACAAATC